AATTGTTTTTTTTTTTTACTCCCTAAACGGATGTGACGTATGTATGGTGTAACTCTTCAGGTGGATTTGAAATATTTGTCTGTCATGCTTTAATTTGAGTTTCGGTCTTCTCTTTTGTGAGTTAGTGCTCCCGTTAGTACTTTCGAGTTATAATCAACTCGAAAGTCCAAGAAAGAGCATGAACTTGAGGAGCATAATAAAATATTCGTGCATAAACATTTTACCACGATGTATACATACGCCTAATACACTTAGGGACTTTAATAAAAACCTGGGAAGCCGTCCAATGAGAGTCGAACGATTTTTCATGTAGGCCTATCAGTGAAATATACGTTAGAGAAACGGGGTGGTCACGACGCCGCCACTATAGAGGGGACTCCATGTCTAATACGCCGGGACGTTTTACACGTCCCTGCTGAAAAGTCCGTATCGGACCCCCGCGTCCGTATCGCGAGCGGTTTTTTTTCGCAGAATGCATCTCTCCCGCAGTAGTGTTATGGATGGCATAGAAAGGCCACCGCTTTAGTCCATGCTGAGGGCCCCGTTCCGCCTATTTTGCATCGAGATGCCAGGGTGTACGGTCCCTAACTCCTCGAACGGGAGCAGAAATTTGCCCCATTTTTTTAAGTTTCCCGTAGATTCGAAAAAGACGTGATCGGCGAGCATTGAATTTTAGGTGGGAAGGTCCTGGCCATAGAGACCATGAATTGAACTAAGCTTTGAAATCCTCTTTACGTTCGGGCCTAGGCCTTGTTGATCTTGCTCATTGCGGTTTTCATTAGATTAATTTTCTTGGTGTCAGTTGAATATTAAATACAGGTTAATTGATTGGATAGTATCTGTAGTGTAGCTTTATAATTTGGCAAATACTTTGGTGCTTCTTGTTACTTTTGTGATTTTATTTGATTTGAAGAATTTCTTCAATGTCACAGTGATAGATGATCTTCTGATCACATTGAATGATGAGAAAATAAAGTATAAATATATGTGCCATTGACCATAGAATATTTCTGAGGAAGGGGAAAGTTATTGAGTAAGGGGAAATGTACTCAAAATGTCTGTAAATGAGTGAAGAACAGGCAAAATATAATTACCATCAGTGCTTCTAAAGCGATCCATTGAAAATTAAGTGTGGGGCTCCTTAGGGTTCATTGTAGTATCAGGAATGGAAAGAAATAAATGAACTGCAGGGATGCATTGCATCATTTAGATGTCTTAAGGGCATCAGAGTGTTGCAGATTCTTTGCACTCATCATTAGAAAAAAAGATGCTCCTATTTATATCCTACCAAGAAGGAGAAATCTATGACATTAGAATTGGGATCCCCTTAGTGTCTCTGATAACTGAAAACCTTGCAACTGAAAACACCTTCACATAACACTGGCAAATATATTTTCATCTGTAGCAAATATCACTTATTTAAAAACCAAACTGGCAAGGAATTTACATGCACCTTATCTGGTTCAATCTGCTGTCATATTTATTTTTTGTGTAAAGCAGTCAGCTGTTCAAGAAATCCTTTGCCTCAGTAGCAACATCAACATTATTTTCCATTCTTTAATGCAGTCAAATTAGGAAAGATATATTCATTCATGCTCAAATCAAGACGAAAAAAAAACTGTACTCTTGAGGGGATTGAGGGGAAATTCCTATGGAGCAAGGATATGTGATGAGTTTTGACTAAATTATAGGGAATGTCATATTAAAAGCTGCACTTCAAGGTCCCTTCTCTCATTGAAGTAAATTTATGATGATGGAACTGCCACCTATAGCACTAGGCTAGGCACAGATCTGCCACTCCATCAGTTATTTTCTGGTAGGCCCTTTTGACCTGGAGTCTGACCATCCCACTATTGATAGAGCATGGAAAGAGCAATGGCATAAGAAAGAAGGAAGAGTCATGTCGGCACGACCGTAATTCAGGTTTTCATGAAAATCAACTCATTTTCAGATGAAAGTGGGGAGGTCCCGATTGGGAAAGGCGATAGGCCTATTTTTCGAGTTTTCCTCTATTTGCCACAAGCAGAAAAGTTTACATTCGCGGCTCTAGAGAGGGAGAGAATGGGAAGGTTGCCGGGGCTTGGCCTAAACATGGCGCCTATTTGAGCTGTCGTCACTACCTGATGCTTCGCATCTATATACCTTTAGTGGCATAGGGAAAACGGGTGCATTTTGAAGCCATATTTGTTGGGAGCAGGCTAGAGCAGGCCTGCGGTGCCCATTGGTCAAATAATGGAGCAGGTACCGCGGGAACATCGGATCGGCCCTTCTGAATGCTGAAGCATGCCTTGCCAATATCCACCAACACCTCTACCATGCATATCGTGGTCGCCCAAAGTCTCCTTTAGCCTATGTTTGCCTTCGAACGTTCAATCGGAGTTTGTTTGACTTAATGCCTTAGACTTGATATAAAATATGTCGACTGTGATGATGGAATGGCGGCGTAACATTTTACAACGAACTTTTCTAGATTTTCTAGTGAAATGTATATATATATGGCCTTCAATTCTTCGTCTGCATAAATACGAGGGAGCTCCAGCCCCTCGCAGAGAGGCTTGGGCTTCTGGCTTCAGGCCTCTGACAGGAGAACCCATAGAAACGACGTTTCCAACGTACTTTTTGGCCTTTTGACCAAATAAGTATCACCTCCAGGTCATGAGCTGTAGATTGATTCCTCAATTACTAAAATCACGGCATCAGCTTAGGAGAAGTTTCCCGGAATGACATATATTTTAACATTTTATGTATAAATGGTATGGATGATGGGTGATGGATGATGAATTATGGACGATGAAATATGGATATTGGAGAGGCTAATCTAACACGCTCCCAATTTGCGATGAAATGTTTCATGATAGCATGAACCAGTTTCAATCCAATTTAATGTTCCCCATCCACTTCGAAATGGGCCGAGACAAACTACGCATACGATTGGCCTAACCTTGCGCATCATCCAAGGGATGTCTCAAAAATATGTCAGGAACACCAAAGGTTTATTCATTATAAGCCTAAGTGATCCCGAAAAGATTTCATTGGTTAGGCCTATGCCTAATATTGTTGAGTCCCATAGGTATGAGGGAGGGGGCAGAGGTGTGTTTAGGTTGAGATTGAGGTTGAAGAAAGGGAAGGCGTTAGAAAAATGGCATTCACATTACTTCTTTTCATTTTATTTCATCACCCTTGTAATTAGCAAAACAGAGGCTAATTTGTATGTACAAATCAATTTTCTTTCTTAAGCCATGTCAGTGCTAATTACCAAAGAATCCGTGTATGATGGAAACCTGGAAAATTCAATCTAAAAAATTGCATAAGAATACATCAAATAGTGAAGTCTGAGATACCAATACGAGACATCTTAAAAAAGTAAAACACATTCATAAATTTCTGGTGACATGCGTCGCCTGAAACGTACTTTTAACTTTTCTCGTTCACTTCACACAATAGACCTAATATATGTTAGCCTTTGGAACAGGCATACATGTGAGACAGCTCTGCATTTATTCCAGATGAAAATGCTCATGAATGTCCTAAGCACCTAAACAGAGGGTCATTTCCTATTAGGACGCAACAATTAATGTGACTGAAAGTCCCCAGCGAAAGATTCCCCAAAGAAAAAATAATCAAGAAAAAGTCGTTGTGGACGTTAGGGGTGTTTTTGGAGCCCTTGCTGCCTTCATTCCGATTAAGGGGTCTTGCTGCTGATGGACTTGCAAAGCCCTGGGAAATCATTCGATTTCTCCATGCATTCTTCTCCCGAGTCGTTTCCTCTCCCGGCCTTGTATACCGCTTTACCTTCCATGTTTCCTCTATTAGGGAGAATGCACGAGAATCAAAATCAGAGTTTCTCCCATCAATGACCTCACACTAGTTGAATTCGTCCATACTGGGGTGCAGAGATAATAAGCGCTTCCATCGCATGCGGCAGCATGGCAACCAGCCTGTGTGAAAGAAACTCATAATGTTCGAAGCAACACCTTAACCCTTGCGTTCCCTCATGGTAATTATACTAACCACTCGGTTACACCATGCTTAAAAATACAGCGAAACAGATTAGGTCCCATCTATGAAAGGAACTGTCTCCGTTTTTAGCAGGAAAGACTGCAGCGTAAATGAATGTACCTCTTTTTCGGCAACGGTCTTCTTTGAAAGGAATCTCCTACCTCGTTACTGAACCAATTTCTTGATAGTATTTTCTCTCTCCCTCTCCGAAAGAAAATGTTTTTTGTAGGTGACGTTTTCGAAAATAATTAAATTTTTGTGGGTCATCCTCTCTGTGCATATTTTTTGGGTGGGTCGCATTTTCCAAGCACAGTATATATTTGCATCAGCGAAAACAACTAATGTATTAGCCTGAAACATGTTAAGCATGTACTTATCCGAGTTCTGGTTTCGGCAACATTTTGTTTTCTTCATTTGAAACCCTTCTGGCTCCTTTTTTAGCATGAGGCGCATTTTGCTTGAAAATTTTCTTGATCCAGCTAAAGAGAAAAAGTAAGAGAGAGAGAGAGGTAGAAAGTTTACATTTTGCACTGAAGTACCTGGTAGATTTCTGATTAAGGGAAATATATATACAGTATAATGAGATGCATTCTCTCATGGCGGATTTTTGGAATTATTATTTCTCCCTCTGACAACTTGGAGCGTGTGTAGAAATTATGCGGTGCTCAAGTTCGGCACACAAGAGGTCATTGGGATAATGAATTCAATAATAATCTTAATCAGTCCAGGAAAGTAAAAAATAATTTCCGATAAATCCCGTTGGGTTATATATATGCTTTGGAAGCTATATGCTTTGAATGCTATATAGATATATGCAACTATGCTTTGGAAGTTATTTTTCACGAAATTAATTTTTTTTCACCTAGTTGGGAAAAAATAAATGGGTATAACTTGGTACAAGCATTGCTGAAGTGATTATTAATTCGGAAAAGATCCAAGTTTTGTCGTGCATTCCTTCAGGGGACAGGTTTTTGTTGTTTGGCTCTTTTAAAGATAATTTTCTAGTCCCCTACAATTCCCACGTCGACTGGAAAGTAGAGCACCTTGAAGAGCAGGATGTGGAGACTCACCTTGTCCGATTTAGCCCAAATCATCTTGGTGAATTCATGTGCAGATAAATCACCAGGTTTTTGCAAGTCCCTAAGGAATGATCATCAATCGAATGGCCTCAATGCCAGGACAATATTCAAGAAATTACATGAAGAACAAGACATGCCGACTCACACGTATCCTCGTGACAATTGCTTGATTTCGTCTTGCCATGCCTTGAGGGCGTCATCCCAGTTCGGATCGCAGCTGCCGCCCCCGTCGCAGAGGGATGTGTACCTCAGACCTTCGTGTCCCTCTGTATGCGACCGATGGAGTACTGGTAATATGCTAAATGCTTCAATAGAACTTAAACGATATCTGGAGACTCACCCCACGTACAATCCCTGAAACAAGATTCGGCGCAATGTTTCGCCTTCTCCTCGAAGTTTTTGTCTACCACCTGCGAACAGTGAGTTTTCTCTTGCTTGAATTCCGCGATACGACGATATAATTGCACAGTTGCTTTTCGACCCTCTTGACCATTTTCTTTTTCATTGAATTATTGTGAGTGTGTTGGAAACTGGCTTTTATCAAATATTCGCATGTCATACATTCCGGCAATTTTTATTCCAGGACGGTTAAATTAGGAGAACTAGTTTCAGGGAATAAAACTAGTTGGAAGTGAACCAGATGAAAGCAGAAGGAAGCGAAATGTTCTTTTGTCGCGGAAGGAATCACCATGATGTTCAAAGACAACCACCAGAACCACTTGACCATGCTCAAAGAACATTTCGTTTAGGGTACTGCCAACATGTCATGAACACCCTTGGGAACGTTCTATTTTCTGTTTAATTTACCAAAATCCAAAGCCACGAAAAACAATTCAAATAATGCAATCCCTTATCGGAGGAATTTATCGAGGACGTGAATTTTATGCTTTAAAAGAAAAGGTTTCAATTAAACTTTCTTCTCCAGGATCAAACTAATACACAATATGTCTTACACACATTCTTTTCATCATTTGAATTGCAAACCGTCTAAGTAGAGCCCTGCTCTTGTAACTGGGGTCAGAAGCCATATTGCAGACTATTAAACTGGTTAAATAGACGGTCTCCCATTGTCGGGGTTAGTCAAGAGTGGAATCGTGAGGCCATCTACGAACATCTTATATTAAATAGTTTACCAAAACATCTAACCGTGTTAGAAATCGTGTGAAGGTGAGACTGCCCCCTTACAGTTTGTTTTGGGGTAAAATTTTGATTCAAAAATTTCGTCATTTAATTGAAAATGTCAGCTAGTCAAGAAAGAGATAGCAGCCATTGAAGCGCAAAGGAGAAAAAAAAAACGCTGTGGTAAAGAAATTGGTTCCCTGATACAAACAAGCGCGTCCCAGCCTCAATTTGCACAATTCAAAGCAAGATTAGAAAGGAAACAGTGTTCACATGCTCACAGCGATGAGTAAATCGCACAATTGATCATTGGGGAGACAGATCGGAAAGTGTTGTTCAAAATCGAGAAGACGTCTTTGGATATTAGCCACGATATAGCTTTGCCACTGGGGTAATTCAGTGCTGAGCAATGATAATTTAGAGTGATGTCCATAGGAATTACTTTTCTCCACACTCCTTTATCCAAACGAAGCCAAATCTTACTTGAAAAACGGAACAAGAGGGTTGCCTCTAACAAATTAGGCTGTTTACATTTTTAGAATAAAAAATGAAACAAAATAAAAGACAGTGATCCAGGTTTTCTTGAGGTACCCAATCTATCTATATAAGCAAGGATCTCTGTCTGTCTCTGTCCATCTGACGCTATGCATTCGGACACCGTTGGAGATATCGACCTGTTTGGAAGCGTCCTCCCACCCCAGACACCAGTAGCAGGTCATAGGGGGGTCAGGGTCAGAGGGGGCGGCTCCGGGGGGGGGTCTCGGGGTCCCAAAAAGGGTGTTCCAGGCCAGCTAGGGAGACAGGGACAACGGATTGGGGTTCTACGGGTTCCTAGAACCCGTTTGGTGCAAAAAAAGTCCGGCCGCCACAACCCGGTGTCCGCGGCGAAGTTGCGGCCTATCCGCGGCCTGTGGAGCACCTCCTCCATGGGGTTTGGTCCGACTGACGTGAAACCTTTGCGGGTAGGTTGGGGACGAATTTCCCCACAGGAATATGTCATCGGGGTCAGGGGGGGCAGCTTCGGGGGGCGGCTAAGGGTCCCAAAAAGGGTGTTCCAGGCCAACTAGGATGACGGGGACAACAGATTGGAGTTCCACAGGTTCCCAGACCTGTTTGGTGCACAAAAAGTCTGGCTGACGCACCCCGACAGAATTCACAGTCAAGAAATGAACAAAATTGGCTTGCTGAAAAATCAACAGAAATCTCTGTCAAAAAAAAAAATGGGCCACTAAAAATCAACAGATATCACCGTCAAAAAAAAAAAATTGCCGTTAAAAAAATCAACAGAAATCACTGTCAAAAATAAAAAATTGGTTCATCTTAGCTAACTAACAGTAGTAAAACTGCCCTGGCCTTTACTTACCAATTTCACTTGCATCCACAGTGAGGTTGGTAAGTTCTATAAGGCCCCCTTCAACAAAGCCAAGACACTTCAAGTAGTCTACAACTAACTTCAAGAAGCCACAATTCAAGTACTGTTTGGCCAGGGTTAGTATTTGACTCATCACTACCACACCACCCTAACCACCCAACCTAAATATTACTTCTAAAAAATATCCCGGGCAACGCCGCGTAACCCAGCTTGTACAGTATATTTATTTGTAGAGTCTAGGTGTTTTTTTTTCAATCAACATACGCATGACATTCTCCAAGTGCGCACAGCACTTGCCATAACCTGCTTTCATCATAGTGCAAACAATTATTCATAATTATTTAGTCACTTCTCATTTTCATTTATAGATTCAGCTTCAGGTAAGTCTAAGCTGCAAGTACTACAGCGTAGTATCACGTTGTTTTCTTGGCCTATTCATTTCCACTGTACACAATTCCATAGCAGATACAGAGATACCGATACAGCAGATAAGTTGCAGGAAAAAAATTACCTCGACTTGTCCTAAAACTTGTACAGTAGCCGAACAACACGCATGCAGAGCTTTGAAGTTTAACTTCAAGAAAAAGCCCGGTTTCACAGCAAATCAGTCACTTGATAACAGCAGGTCGGCCGCAAGATTGCAGGAGGTCGGCCACGTGATCACAGCAGGTCGAACTCGCGTAAATGGTAGGTCAAACGCATACTAATAGTTGCTTAGACAGTTGCTCACGGAGCCGAATATATTGATTTCTCTATAGCGGTCAAAATGACCGCTCCGGTACTTCTAGTGGTAAAGTTAAGCAAATGTCCTTAAATATCAATACATTATGTTTTGTGGTAAAAAGGCACCTTGACTAAGCGCCAAAAATTTGCTCATTCTTTTACATTGGATGTCCAAAGACCTATTTGAAAGCACGTAGAACGTCGTCGAGAGCTTTTATGGGTTGCTTGGGCAATATAGTAAGTGTAAAGCCTGCAGTTCTCATTTGGCTCGAGATTATTTTTTGCTCCCCATTATGTGAATGGACAAGACAATCGACAAACAACTGTAATGATTGGGATGACATTAAGAGACATAACATCCCGAATTCCGTGGTGTAATGATAGCACACATGACCGGGTTCAAATCACGGCCGCCCCCCGGCTTTCGACACCTGAGTGCTGCGTTCCTTGTATCAAATTGCTCAGCAGGCTGCACGGCTCTCTTATTCCGGAGCTCAGCATTCGCTGCCTCTTGCTCTTCAGCGGTGTAAGCGGCTCTGCGCACATATGATTGCTGTTCATCACTGATTCTAGACATTACGGCTAGCACCGATTTAGGCACTTCCCACATCAACTACAGTGTTAAAGGTTGTTTTCGCGGGAGACCAACCGTTTTTCACCAGCAACAACTGCCTCATCGCCGTCCTGTGGGACCTTCTTCAACATTTCTTTTTCGCGTTCAACCTCCCCCACCGCAAAAATCGCCACCATTTTGATGGGAGGTGCACCTCGTTTGCGCGACGTATGAAGCAGAGACTTTTTAGAATTATTTGGACTTCATCAATCAGGAGAACTCAAATAAATCGGTATTATATGAAACGCAAGCAGAATATTATTGCATGGCGCGATCCGCTACGCCTGACCTAACGGGAAAAAAAATAAATACAGAAAAAAAAACCACAGCAAAGAATGTATTCATATGAAGAACTTTAAGTCGATTATTCAAAACGTGACACGCATTCAATTATTACCACTCTTTGATTGTTACAGTTAAGTGTGAAGCCTATGGCCCAGACTGATATAGCTCTATAGACCTGGTGCTAAAAGCGTCAAGTTGCGAAGCCTATGGCCTATAATAGCATAGCCTCAAGGACCTGGCGCTTTGAGGGATGGATGGCCTAGCCTATGGCCTGAAGTGACATAGTGATGGCGTCGCGCGCTGGGGTGACAACCACCACCACCTCCACAACTCTCGGGCTCTTCGAATTAAAGTGTAAGATGGCCTGGTAAGGTGTAGTCTTGTAGTCTTGGCGCTTTAGGCCGTGGATAGCCTGGCCTATGATCCAGAATGGGATTGCATCGTAGGCCTGAGCGTTGGGGGTGAATGTCACGGCCACCACCACCACAACTTTTGACCTCTTCGAATTAAAGTATTAGATTGAAATCTAAGAAACGGAAAGTTCTGGAATATATGTTGGATTTAGCAAAATAAGTTATGTTTTCCTAGTCTTGTGGATTTCCAACTCGATTATTGATTCGGATGTTTTCGTGAAAAAATCAAGATCATAGTTAATGGGTGACATTCCATTTTAAAAAATCATGATTAGACGGACGGAACTATGAAGGTGAAACTGAAAAGGAATCAAAAAGAAAAATAATTCCATAACTGGAAGAAACAAGATCCAATTCGGAAGAAAGTCTACATTTCGCGTTTTACCACTTTTGACGGAGAGAACGCTGGAGAAGCTTTGAGAAGTTCATCTTCAATTTTCGAGAAAGAAGGCCATATTATAGGGAGCTTCTTCGATAGGAGAGGAATAAATTCGCGTGTTGTAGACCAAAGAGACAATTCAACATCAATTTGTCTTTAGATTGATGAATATTTTCTACTCTCTGGATGAGAATGGGAATAATGGAAGACTTGTCAGTTCGTTCATATTGAGAGCCGTAGGCAGTGGGTTGCCGTCGCAATCCAGGCATCCTTTCACTTCACCTCGGGCCACCGAAGCTCGGTAATGGTTCAGCATATAGTAAATATCCCTCACTGCAACGCCGGTAAAACAAGGAAATCATCTTCACCCAGGAAAATTTAGGAGGCACCCATCAATGAGTGAATAGGAGTGAATAGAACAACCTGGTGATTCGCAACGCATATGCTGAAAATCCGAGTTGATGAACCAGGAGTCAGGATCTTTGACAGCACACGTGGTGGAGTGTTTCTGAGAGCCATCTGTGAATCCCTGAGGGTTTTCGCAAGTGAAGGTGACCATCGAACCCTTCGATGCGGGGTATTTCCCATTCCAACCTTTGTCAGGAATCGCCTTAACTCCCTCGATTTTCGGGTGTTCCATCAGGCATACAACTGAAAAATAAAACGATATTGCAATTCTCTGCTTCGTTCATGATTAGGAAATATCAAGGAATAGAGACTCTCAGCAAAAGCCTGAAATGCATCGTCCTCCACCAAGTCGCTGGTGAAATCTGTGACCAGCTGGCATGATCCGTCCGATTCCCGATAGTTGTAGGCGTGGCACGGTGGGTTATTAATTATACTGTACATCTGATGTTGCACATCCCGAGACACATCTCGGAGGTTTCATAACTCACGTTCCCATATTTCCACCCAGGCTGAATGCCGTAAAAATGAGTGGAATCTCCTGAGACCGCCATAAGTAACAAGATGAAGAAGAAAGTATGTTCTTCATCGTCCAGGCTGCCGATGTCAACCACGAGAAGGGAAATCTGCAACAACGTCAATGGAAGCGAAGTAGGTCGAGATATGCATCCACGTATCCATGGGAACGCCTTCAGAGTTGAGATCGATCCATGATAAAAGAGCAGCTCGATGAAAGTCCGTATCGTAGGCGTGTACACTCCCATGAATAAATAAAAAAGCAAGATGTATATTGTCCGACCGGCTGCAGCGCAGAGCGTTGATGGGGCCGCTGACTGAACTGGTGAATATCCGAAAATGCTCCACGTTTAGCCTCGGCCGACCCGGAATTCGTGGATGCCTTCCACGGGTTGGGGTTTCCTTCTCAGTCGAGGGCGAGCAGCTCCTTTCGAGTCTTCGCGACTGTCGGATTCGTTCTCGAGAACGGGTGAGAGAGAGTGGCGGTGTAGAATGTTTAAGTGATGACTGAACTCATAGATTTCCGACCATGTTCATGACCGTAGAGAGGGGAAGGGAAGGCCAAATGAGCGATTTGCCCCTTGTCCCTTGTCTGGGGGAGGGGGGGGGGTGGGACAGGCCACACCAGATGATGTATTGAATATGTACTGTTGTGTATTAGTAGGGCAGTGTTCGTTCGCAATGAAGAGTTTCAAACGCACCCAGTGTGTGCGTAGCGGTAGGGAGGAGAGAAGAGTCGAAAGGTAACCCTTTCGTGAATATTGCCCCGGACTTCACAATTCATTTTGGCGACACTGTGTTATACGCTTAGGCCTGGCTTAACCAAGGCCAGAAATGTCAAACTTGAATAAACTGGCGGTCGGTTGGAACCCTTCAAGAGTGGTTGAGTCCTCATTAGCACATCTTGCACCAACGTTTCAATTGCCGACAGGTTTGAAATAGTCTCCTCCCTTTTGAAAACCAACCGTTGAAGAGGACTTTGCAGGCCGGACGAATTCAAATAATTGGCCGGCAGTTTGACACCCATGGTCTAGACCAATCCGAAGTTCGTGGAAGTATTCCTACATGTCATTCTCGAGAACGGGATAACGGGATGGAGGTGGTGTTGCTTTATGTCGTTGAGAGTGCTGCTGACTCAGCTCGGGAATTCCCGAGAAACAGTTCCTGGATGACTTCTGCACACAGAAAATTCAGTGCCTCAGTTCGATGCATTTTTCTCGCAAAAAATATCTGTCCTGCATGTGATGCGTCTTTATCGCATCAAATGTTGGATGCGATAAAAACGCATCACATGGAAGACAGCTTTTTCTCGACGAAAATGCATTATATTGATTCTGCGTGTATAGGTCAGGAATATTATGCGCTTCTGCCGCATTGAACATTTCGTGATGAACTTCAGCCACATCGAGATTTGCCTTGCATGACCTAATGTGGGAATATAGTGGCTTTTGAGATTAAAGCCCGAATACACGAACCTCGTTCAGGAGAGACAACGGGACTTTTATCGAAGGAGCTCTTTTTCTCCCATACGTATCCATGAATTCTCAAAGTACTATTAAATATCCATAGTTAACAGTCGGATCTCCTATCGGCGTTCCGTGTTGCACCACCAACGCATCAAACGGAATACAAACACCGTATGAAACTGGACTCGAAGAATGAAGTAAGCGGTTATATGGGAATCCCTTCGAGACGCACGAGCTCCTCGCATTTGTCGGAGGGAAGGTGGAGTGATAAGGCCATGCACTCAGGCGGTTGCATATGAATCCCTCGACTGTCAATGCATTGCCCCGAGGGTTCATGGGGGGGGAAGGAGGGGAGGAGCTTCCTCGGCACGATGAAGTGGAATACGGAGGTTAACATGTGTCTAGACGATGCGCAGGCACTCAAACCACCCTTCCGTCTCGGCTATAGACCCATTTTGGTTTTTCGAACGCCTTTCAGGTGACCCTGCACGGTCGAGAAGCGAGAGATATGAATCGAAAATCCAGTTGACATCTTTTTCTCTTGAGAAGAATAAATGAAAACGCGAAAATTTAGAGAAGTATTTCATCTCGATTTACTGAGTTCTCTGAGTGAGGGCATTGGGGTACCCGTCTCACGCTCGCACTTTCTCTCTGGACTTTGTGCACCATATTACACTGCAATAGACGCAAGTACTCATAGCTCATTTCCACCGGAGGCCTTCCTTCACACTGTAGTTTTGCAATCGTCAGTTATGTAATTATACAAATAATTTATTAAATATGGTGGGATATGGCAAATGTATACAATACATTTAAAAAATCTGTGCAAAAAAAATTAAATCACCACAGCGAAAGAGTTCAAAAATGCAAATATTCGGTCAATCGGAAAGTTCTGGCCGTTTTCAGAACATTCCATACAACCGAGGTTTTTTTTTAACAAAAAAGTTCATTCAACGAAGTAATCGCCATCACAATCACCTTCTGGCAACGATCGGACAGACTCCCGATTCCATCCCTGTAGAACTGAGCTGGCTGTGAGTCGAAAAAATCAGTTAGCCAATTTTCGACCTCGGCGTCATCGTTGAACCTTTTCTGGGAAGATGGTTGTCCAGAGCGCGGAAGAGATGGTAGTGGGTTGGCGCCAGATCTGGGCTACAGTAGGGTGAGGCAGAACTTCCCAGCCCAGATCCAGCAGTTTCTGCCATGTGATCTTCGCGACATGCAGCCTTGCGTTTACGTGCAATAATCGAGCACGACTGTGCCCTGGCCTCACTGTGCGGAGTTTGTCGGAGAGCTTCTGCAGCCGATCGCAGTAGTAGGCTGCGGTTATGCTGGTATCGGGTGGGAGCAGCTCGGACTCGATCACGCCTTGCACGTCCCACCAAATGCACAACATGACTTTTCGGGGATGCAGGTCAACTTTTCTGCTCCGACTCTGGGTGGGCATCGGCATCGACACACTGGCACCTGTGTCGGTAGTTAACGTACGGCATCCACTTTTCGTCTTAAGTGACTACGGAATCCAGCCAGTCGTTCGTGCGCTCGTATGACAGTAGCCAAGTGCACACCTCAGCACGGCGTTCGCGGTTGCGTTCGGTCAGCTCTTGGGGTACCCACTGACCCAACTTGCTGTTCCTGCCGATTGCAGCAAGGTGCGTCACGATCGTGGACTTGGCGCAGTCAAGTTCTGTCGCTAAGTCGCGGGTACTTTGCCATTGTGTGCTGAAGCTGCTCGTCGTCGATTTCAGATGGGCGCCTTGACTTGGGCTCATCCTCGAGGCTGTAATTTTCAGACCAAAAACGAACGAACCATCGTCGCGCTGTCCTGCATCCTGTCCTGCGTCTGTTCTATAAACTGCACCTTGGTCAAACGCGGCGCAGATGCGGCGACTCGATTCAACTGCTGTGATGTCACATAGGAAGTCGTAAAAAAGGCACTGACGGTGTCATTCTTAGCACGAAAGACAGTAAAGTAAACGAAAATGCTTTTCTTGGCGAAGGTCTTCCAAAAACGGGATTCTCCTGCCGTGTTACCGAACCAATTATTGGTGACCTGTTATATCTCCCGGAAACTGGAGTGACTGCTCACTCGGAAAAGCCTAACATGTCCGCCGTTGCTCAGGTTTAGTGGATATAGTAACATAGCACATTGTATTGCTCGCTTCGAGAAATTCCCAAGGAGCGCTTTCATCCATCGTGGTTTTGAAATGTATAGTCCTGATGAAAGAAACGGATCCAGTATTTCTGAGGGAAATGCGAGATAACTGGTTTTAGTCATGTGTGAAAAACAATGATCTACACCGTTTTCCTCTCTCGGTTATGGACGAGGTCGTATGGCACTGGTTCATGGGCATCAGGTACGCTTGCGGATGCGAATGGGTCTTATATAAAAAAACTACCAGTGAAACGTGTAGAAATACTTTTCCTCAATATTAAAATTTACTGTGCCTAAGCCCAATCCACTGAGGGACGCTTTGGTCAATTCCATTTCTATGGATATGCTTCTTTCCACGAAGAGGGATCATGATTAGCTATTGGTTGCATTTACGAAAAGACGTATTTTCTCATAGTCAATTGAATGTGTCGTTAAACTCTTCAGCTTCCAGTTTAGATACACTCGACTATTCGCAACGCTATACACACTATACTCTATACACGACGCACAAAACTTCCCTTGGTGTCTACATTTCTAAATAGAAATCTCGCTGAAGTAATGAACAGCATGAAACTAATGAAGAATTTCAACTATAATAAAATATCTAACTCAAATACTCATAGTCGAAATCCCGTTTATCTTGAACGTTTAGTCCCGTCTGAATCCCGTGAGACCGTTAAATATTCCATTTGACTCGACTTTGATTATCTTGAATTATCTTTGATTATCTTCTATACATTTCCCCTAAAATTCACACGTCAAAAGGAAAGAAGAGCACCTTGAAGAGCAGGGGGTGGAGACTCACCTTATTCGATCTTGCCCAAATAATTAAGGTCAACTCCAGTGCAGATACGTCACCTTCTTTATGCACGATCCTAAGGGATGATCATAGATCGAAATGCCTCGATACCAAGATACAAATTGAAGCAATTACATAAAGAGGAACACATGCCGACTCACACGTGTCCTCGTGAGAATTGCTTGATTTCGTCTTTCCATGCCTTGAGGGCGTCATCCCAGTTGATATCACAGCTGTCGCTCCTGTCACATGGGGCGGTATATGTCATACCTGCAATCGCCTCTGTATGTGACAGATGGACCTCTGGTAAAAGAGTTAATGATTCAAGAGAAGTAAAGAGATATATGAGGACTCACCCCAAGTACAATCCTTGGAACACGATTCTACACAACGTTTCGCCATCTCTTCGAATTCTTTGTCTATCTCCTGGAAACAGTGAGTTTTCTTTACTCGAATCCCACGGAGCGACATGGAAAAAGTTTTGAGAGTTTTACATGGTAGCTTTTCAACCCGAGATGTTTTTCCATCATGCTTCATCAAAGAGTGAGAACGTAGCAGTGATAAAATATTTGCATATCCTAAAAATGTACATGGCGGCAATTTTTTGCCGGGACGATTACTTAGGTGTACAAGTTTCATGTAGATTTCGTGTAGATTTCAAAGAAGAACATTGTGTTTTAGGTATTCGTGAAGATATCAAGGACTGAATTAAAGCATGATTCGTCGCCCAAAAATTTGGAATCGACTTCCTGAATTAAGAGACTGAATTTAAAAAGGAATCATGAAGAAAATGGTCACTGTATTGCCCTGCTATGTACTACGTAAAGACTTCTTTCTGATATAAAGGCACTCAAAATGGTGAAAAAATGAGGCTCATGCTCACGACTTCCTCGAACCTCATCAAATAGATAGTAATAACGGTTTGGAGAAGGTGGGATTATAGGGAGCTTGTATGCCATGAGGGGAACAAGTTCGCATGATGTTTTGATGATGTTTTGTCCTTGAATCAATAAACAGCTGCAATAAAATCTGCAGTGTTATTTGTACTGATTATCACAGATTTCGTAGTTGAGCCGTAAGAGACGACAAAAAATGCAAACTGTCTTCCCCCAGATACCCGTATAAAATAGACCACATTTTTAATTTCATTCAAAATGAATTTTATTCCACGGAAAGTTTCAGAATATATATTGGATTTTGGAAAATAAGTTATGTTTTCATGGTCTTGTGGATTTCCAACTCGATTATTGATTCGGATGTTTTCGTGAAAAAATCAAGGACATAGTTAATGGGTGACATTCTGTTTTAAAAAATCATTAGACGAACGGAACTAGGAAGGTGAAACTGAAAAGGAATCAAAAAGAAAAATAATTCAATTACTGGAATTAACAAGAAGCAATGCTGACGAAAGTCTACATTTCGCGTTTTACCACTTTTGACGGAGAGAACGCTGGAGAAGCTTTGAAAAGTTCATCTTTTTAAATTTTCGAGAAACAAGGTCGTAACATAGGGAGTTTCCTCAATAGGAGGGGAATAAATTCGCGTGTTGTAGACCAAAGAGACAATTCAACATCAAATTGTCTTTAGATCGATGAATATTTTCTACCCTCTGGATGAGAATGGGAACAAAGGGAGACTTGCCAGTTCGTTCATATTGAGAGCCGTAGGCAGTGGGTTGCCGTCGCAATCCAGGCATCCTTTCACTTCACCTCGGGCCACCGAAGCTCGGTAATGGTTCAGCATATAGTAGATATCCCTCACTGCGACACCAGTAAAACAAGGAAATCATCTGCACCCACGAAAATTTAGGAAGCGCCTATCAATGAGTGAATTGGAGGGAATGGGACAACCTGGTGATTCGCAACGGATATGCTGAAAATCCAAGTTGAAGAACCAGGAGTCAGGATCTTTGACTGCACACGTGGCAGAGTGTTTCTGGGAGCCATCTGTGAATCCTTGTGGGTTCTCGCAAGTGAAGGTGACCATCACACCCTTCGGTGAGGGGTATTTCCCATCCCAGCCTTTGTCAGGAATCGCTTTAGCTCCCTCGATTCTTGGGTGTTCCATCAGGCATACAACTGAAAAATAGAACGATATTGCAAATCTCTGCTTCGTTCATGATTAGGAAATATGAAGGAATAGAGACTCTCAGCAAAAGCCTGAAATTCATCGTCCTCCACCAAGTCGCTGGTGGAATCTGTGACCAGCTGGCATGATCCGTCCGATTCCCGATAGTTGTAGGCGTGGCACGGTGGGTTATTAATTATACATCTGATGTTACACATCCCGAGACACATCTCGGATGTTTCAGAACTCACGCTCCTGTATTTCCACCCGGGCTGAATGCCGTAAAAATGAGTGGAATCTCCTGAGACCGCCATAAGTAACCAGTTGAAGAAGAAAATAAGTCTGTTCTTCATCGGCCAGGCTTCCGATGTCAACCACGAGAAGGGAAATCTGCAACTACGTCAATGGAAGGGAAGTAGGTCGATATATGCATCCACGTATCCAAGGGAACGCTTTTGTTAATACCTCCACGTAAGAGTACAAAAGCAATTCTGAGAAGTCATCCACTAAGAGTCAAAGAAAGTGGACCTCAATTCCCGAAGTTCTTTTTTAACGTGCTAGGGACATGTCAGCAGCAAGAGATTCAACATGACCCTACTCATTGAAAGGGGAGCATTGTATTCGTGCGGACAATTATAGAAACCGTCGCAATAAAACCCACGATGTTGTTAATACAGTAGGTTAGAATGATTGCTGCTAACAGATTCATGAGGCTACAACCTTCCGAAATTGAGGTCCAGATTCATGGACGGTGCAATGAAGCAAAGGTGTTACTACATAGACCTATCGAGTCCCATATTATACACTGCTTAGGTGAAAATCGTAATTAAAAAATTCTGCCATATGATGATCTTCAGTTCTTCTTTATGAACATATACAGGTCAAAAGAGAAAAATCCGGTAAGGATATGACCGCGATTCAAGAAATAAAACAGGTAAGCTCATTATCATATATTTAAAAATTTCTGATGCGTACATTCCTCTCTCTGTGTTCATGTATACGTGAACGATGGGGACCTATGTTACCCAGTAAATCATGAATTGCAACCTATGGGCATGCATTTGCTATGGGAACACTTAGCGAGGTGGTGTTTTCACTCTCCCTCTACCGCACTGTATTCTCTCGGCGATAGAGCCCAATAGCATCCAGGTGCAAATGGAATCGGCAATGAGTTTTGTGGAGGCAGTGATATAAACAAGGGCGTTCCCATGGAAACCTGGATGCGTATGTTCACCTACTTCTATTGAGGTCTTTGGAGGATTTCATTCAGAACCGACTGTAGCCTTCGGACCTGTTACTTCTTGTGTAAGTGAGTATAGAAGTAGGAGAATGTGTACCGCCTACCTCTAAGGTAAATAAAAAAGGAGTAAGTCGGATCCACCATTATGCCCTCGCGGAGTTCTGAATCCTATGAGCAGTCTCACGCTAAGTGCTGCATCAGATTTATAATCCAAACACCGCCGTACAACGCCTACAACTATCGGGAATCGGCCGGATGTTGCCAGCTGGTCATGGATTTCACGGGCGACTTGGTGGAGGACGATAGCTTCCAGGCCCTTGCTAAGATTCTCTACTATTCCATAATTCCAAATAATATCAAGAACAGGGAAAGGCAATATCTTCTTACTTGCGAGTGTGTTTGCCCTTCGGGCAAACAAATTCGTAAAATAAATATTAGTAAATAAGTAAGTAAGTAAGTAAATAAGTAAATGAGTAAAATAAATATTGAAAAAATTTAGTTGATTTTCTTATCATCTTCTCTTTCCCTCCATCTTACATCTGGCCCTCTTTTGAATGCGGGCTTCCTATTTTCCTCCCTCCCATCCCAGGACCGATATAAGTCACAGTGCCTTCAAATTGCTTCAAAATATCCTCATAACTGAAAGTATTACTTTGCGGCAGAAAGTACTTAAACGAGGTTGATTGGAACTTGGCGAATTAAGTCTTCATGATGAGACCTTTTTTTTTCTTTAAATGATACTTCACTAGTGAAGCATTTGACGTGACGTGATTTGCATGCCTACTGATTCGGTTTGTAACATGCAGTGAAAGTTCACTGTGAAATGAAAGACAAACACTTCTCGAGACACAGCTGAGTAATCATCCCAAGTAATAACCTGGCTCATGTGCTGCGCCTTCAAAAAATTTGGTGCAAGTAGGCAATTCATATCCCCTATATTTTTTATTTCCTTGTTGTCGATTGTAAGTTGCATTAGCTCTTTTCAGACCTGAATAAAGGACACTATCTGAGAAATATATGCATTGGGGTGTCGATTGGAAAGTTCTGGCCATTTGGAGAATTTTCCTGAAAAAAAATTTCTGAAACTTTCTCACACCTTTCACAGTAGCCGTATACAGGTTGTTCGTATTTAAACCCAACATAGGGAAACATTTTGCCGCATGTTTGTGGAGTTCTGCGAGTACCTTACCGCTCACCGGGTTGCATATGTGGAAGGATGAAACCTATGACTGGTGTTTCCTTGCAGTTAGGCAACCCGATGGGCCTTATAACGTTCACCGCCCCCCACCTACGGGCTGCAAAATATTCCCTTGCGTTTAAATGCGAACACACTGTATAGATGGTGTGTGGGCGTAAGTACGCAGCAGGAGTTTAGTCGTTCAAAGCGTATAACCATGACTTAAAAAATCGACTTTAACAAGACTGCCCACCGTCAGTGCCTTTTTTACGACTTCCTATGTGACATCACAGCAGTTGAATCGAGTCGCCGCATCTGCGCCGCGTTTGACCAAGGTGCAGTTTATAGAACAGACGCAGGACAGGATGCAGGACAGCCCGATTCCCGATTCCAGCCGGACAGTCCGATTTAGCCCAAATCATCTTGGTCAATTCATGTGCAGAAAAATCACCAGATTTTTGCAAGTCCCTAAGGAATGATCATCGATCGAATGGCTTCAACGCCAGAACAATATTGAAGCAATTACATGAAGAACAAGACATGCCGACTCACACGTATCCTCGTGACAATTGCTTGATTTCGTCTTGCCATGCCTTGAGGGCGTCATCCCAGTTGGGATCGCAGCTGCCGCTCCCGCCGCAGAGGGATGTGTACCTCAGACCTGCGTATCCCTCTGTATGCGACCGATGGAGTATTGGTAATATGCTAAATGATTAAAAGAACTTAAGAGATACATGGAGACTCACCCCACGTACAATCCTTGAAACAAGATTCGGCGCATTGTTTCGCCTTCTTCTCGAAGTTTTTGTCTACCACCTGCGAACNATATATGCATCCACGTATCCAAGGGAACGCTTTTGTTAATACCTCCACGTAAGAGTACAAAAGCAATTCTGAGAAGTCATCCACTAAGAGTCAAAGAAAGTGGACCTCAATTCCCGAAGTTCTTTTTTAACGTGCTAGGGACATGTCAGCAGCAAGAGATTCAACATGACCCTACTCATTGAAAGGGGAGCATTGTATTCGTGCGGACAATTATAGAAACCGTCGCAATAAAACCCACGATGTTGTTAATACAGTAGGTTAGAATGATTGCTGCTAACAGATTCATGAGGCTACAACCTTCCGAAATTGAGGTCCAGATTCATGGACGGTGCAATGAAGCAAAGGTGTTACTACATAGACCTATCGAGTCCCATATTATACACTGCTTAGGTGAAAATCGTAATTAAAAAATTCTGCCATATGATGATCTTCAGTTCTTCTTTATGAACATATACAGGTCAAAAGAGAAAAATCCGGTAAGGATATGACCGCGATTCAAGAAATAAAACAGGTAAGCTCATTATCATATATTTAAAAATTTCTGATGCGTACATTCCTCTCTCTGTGTTCATGTATACGTGAACGATGGGGACCTATGTTACCCAGTAAATCATGAATTGCAACCTATGGGCATGCATTTGCTATGGGAACACTTAGCGAGGTGGTGTTTTCACTCTCCCTCTACCGCACTGTATTCTCTCGGCGATAGAGCCCAATAGCATCCAGGTGCAAATGGAATCGGCAATGAGTTTTGTGGAGGCAGTGATATAAACAAGGGCGTTCCCATGGAAACCTGGATGCGTATGTTCACCTACTTCTATTGAGGTCTTTGGAGGATTTCATTCTCTTGGCTGACATCGGAAGCCTGGACAATGAAGAACACATTCACTCATATCTTCATCCTCTTACACATGGCGGATGGAGATTCCATTTATTTTTTCCTCATTCAGCCTAGGTGGTAATACGGGAGCGTGAGTTCTGAATCCTATGAGCAGTCTCACGCTAAGTGCTGCATCAGATTTATAATCCAAACACCGCCGTACAACGCCTACAACTATCGGGAATCGGACGGATGTTGCCAGCTGGTCATGGATTTCACGGGCGACTTGGTGGAGGACGATAGCTTCCAGGCCCTTGCTAAGATTCTCTACTATTCCATAATTCCAAATAATATCAAGAACAGAGAAAGGCAATATCTTCGTACTTGCGAGTGTGTTTGCCCTTCGGGCAAACAAACTCGTAAAATAAATATTAGTAAGTAAGCAAGTAATTTTTAAGTAAGCAGAACAACCTGTATACAGGTTGTTCGTATTTAAACCCAACATAGGGAAACATTTTGCCGCATGTTTGTGGAGTTCACGCTCATGGAATGGCGAGTGGCCCAACGTATACACCTTCCTACTTTGGATACTGACCACAAAGGAACGTCAATCCGTTGGGCTACCCGGAATATTGCAAGTGGCGGGGGGTGGATGCCCGACGTTTTTATTCCCTTGCGTTTAAATGCGAACACACTGTATAGATGGTGTGTGGGCGTAAGTACGCAGCAGGAGTTTAGTCGTTCAAAGCGTATAACCATGACTTAAAAAATCGACTTTAACAAGACTGCCCACCGTCAGTGCCTTTTTTACGACTTCCTATGTGACATCACAGCAGTTGAATCGAGTCGCCGCATCTGCGCCGCGTTTGACCAAGGTGCAGTTTATAGAACAGACGCAGGACAGGATGCAGGACAGCTTTGGCAATAATGATAGATAAACTACTCCAAGCTCCTTCAGCACTCGTACTCGGAGTAAAAAAGTGGTAAAACTCACGGAAATATAGTCTTTCTTCAGAAATGCATCATGTATCGTCCCGTTATGTCATACCATTTTCTTCATGATTCCTTTTTAAATTCAGTCTCTTAATTCAGGAAGTCGATTCCAAATTTTTGGGCGACAAATCATCCTTTAATTCAGTCCTTGATATCTTCACGAATACCTAAAACACAATGTTCTTGTTTGAAATCTACACGAAATCTACATGAAACTTGTACATCTAAGTAATCGTCCCGGCAAAAAATTGCCGCCATGTACATTTTTAGGATATGCAAATATTTTATCACTGCTACGTTCTCACTCTTTGATGAAGCATGATGGAAAAATATTCTAGGGTTGAAAAGGTATCATGTGAAACTCTCAAAACATTTTCCATGTCACTCCACGGAATTCGAGTAACGAAAACTCACTGTTTCCAGGAGATAGGCAAAGAATTCGAAGAGATGGCGAAACGTTGTGTTGAATCGTGTTTCAAGGATTGTACTTGGGGTGAGTCCTCATATATCTCTTTACTTCTCTTGAATCGTTAACTCTTTTACCAGAAGTCCATCTGTCACATACAGAGGCGATTGCAGGTATGACATATACTGCCCCATGTGACAGGAGCGACAGCTGTGATATCAACTGGGATGACGCCCTCAAGGCATGGAAAGACGAAATCAAGCAATTGTCACGAGGACACGTGTGAGTCGGCATGTGTTCCTCTTTATGTAATTGCTTCAATTTGTATCTTGGTATCGAGGCATTTCGATCTATGATCATCCCTTAGGAACGTGCATAAAAAAGGTGACGTATCTGCACTGGAGTTGACCTTAATTATTTGGGCCAAATCGAATAAGGTGAGTCTCCACCCCCTGCTCTTCAAGGTGCTCTTCTTTCCTTTTGACGTGTGAATTTTAGGGGAAATGTATAGAAGATAATCAAAGATAATTCAAGATAATCAAAGTCTAGTCAAATGGAATATTTAACGGTCTTACGGGATTCAGACGGGACTAAACTTTCAAGATAAGCGGGATTTCGCCTATCAGGATTTGAGTTAGAGATTTTATTATAGTTGAAATTCTTCAGTAGTTTCATGCTGTTCATTACTTCAGCGAGATTTCTATTTAAAAATGTAGACACCAAGGGAAGTTTTGTGCGTCGTGTATAGAGTATAGTGTGTATAGCGTTGCGAATAGTCGATTGTATCTAAACTGGAAGCTGAAGAGTTTAAAGATACATTCAATTGACTATGAGAAAATACGCCTTTTCGTAAATGCAACCAATAGCTAATCATGATCCCTCTTCGTGGAAAGGAGCATATCCATAGAAATGGAATTGACCAAAGCGTCCCTTAGTGGATTGGGCTTAGGCACAGTAAATTTTAATATTGAGGAAAAGTATTTCTACACGTTTCACTGGTAGTTTTTTTTTTATATACGACCCATTCGCATCCGCAAGCGTACCTGATGCCCATGAACCAGTGCCATACGACCTCGTCCATAACCGAGAGAGGAAAACGGTGTAGATCCTTGTTTTTCACACATGACTAAAACCAGTTATCTCGCATTTCCCTCAGAAATACTGGATCCGTTTCTTTCATCAGGACTATACATTTCAAAACCACGATGGATGAAATCGCTTCTTGGGAATTTCTCGAAGCGAGCAATACAATGTGCTATGTTACTATATCCACTAAACCTGAGCAACGGCGGACATGTTAGGCTTTTCCGAGTAAGCAGTCACTCTTCAAAGGCCCTCTATATTGTCCAGTGGTTATTAACCAAGCCATTGTGCCGTCCTCTTAGGGCAAAAACCTTCTGGAAGCGGTTCTTTTCGTAAAAGCAAATGAAATGACAGAAAGCACGATTCTTACTGAACAGTATCCTTCATGAATGGGATATAATCGGTTTCGCTGAATTTTTTTTAGCAAAAACTAGCTGTATGCATTGCATTTAACATGAGGGTAATAAGGGTATAAGTGTTTCTCCGACCATCACGAGCTTCTTTGAAACAGGCAGGTTGCCATGCTGCCGCATGTGATGGAAGCGAGTATTATCTCTGCATCCTCTCACCCCGGTATGGACGAATTCAAGTAGTGTGAGGTCATTGATGGGAGAGACTCTGATTTCGATTTTCGTACTTTTTCCCTAATAGGGGAAACATGATAGGTGAGCCGGTATACAAGGTCGGGAGAGGAAATGACTCGGGAGAAGAATGCATGGAGAAAAGCTTACTAAAGGGTCCCGAAACGTTCAGGTAGTCGTCGTTCTGGGGTATTAACCTTTCTTCCTTCACTCGAGAGGATGCGGAGGGGACTGTGGGTGTAGACGTAAAGGAACAAAGAAAGAAGAAACAGGAGTCTTTCGCTCGGGATTCTTCAGTCGCGTTTATTTTTGGAACCTAATGGTGAATGACCTGCAACGGTAATTGGGACTTCCAATGGAACTTTGACAAGGAATGAATGCGGATTCGTCTCACGTGCATGATTGTTCCAGAGGTTAACATATATTGGGTCACTTGTGTGGAGTGAAAGCGAAAAATAGGGATTTTAAAGTAGGTTTTTGGAGAAGAACGTCAAGTGAACTTTTTGAAGGTGTTTTTTTTTAGGATGTTTCGCATTTTATTGTTATATCATTTATCGTAATGTGATGAGATCTTATCCGCCACTTTTTTGGATTCAGGTTTTCAGGTTTCCATCACAAAGGGATTATTTTGCAAGTAGCATTGACAGAGTGTTGATTTATAAATACAGATTGGGTTTTGCTTTGTTAATCACGAGGGAGAGCTTTATTTTACCATGCTTCATGACACTTTCGGTAAAAAGATTGCGGAAGAGAAAGAAGTTGTAGTTGGAGTTGGAGTTGTAGTTGTGGTGAAGGGTGAGGAGGGTAGTGATGTCTTGAGTACCTTCTTAGGCATAGGCGTAACTGACGCACTCTCTTCGGGTCAGACTTTGGCCTACATTTTTTCGTTCAAAGGAAACTCCATCTTCGAGCTACGGGACATTGATTTTGTACAGTGCAGGGTTGACATATAGTGTAGGCATGATATCTTTTACAATAAATGTGAAGAATTAGAATGACCTTTCATAGATGTGTACTGTTTGAGTTATGGAGTCCTGCACGGGTGCGTAGATTTAGATCTAGTGAAGTTATTGGCGATATCTAAAAGTAACTAGTTTGAATATTTCAG